CTCTCTCTCCTCTCTCTCTCTCCTTCTCTCTCTCCGCTCTTTCTCTCTTTCTTGTCTCTTTCTTTCTTTCCCTCACTTCCACCCCTCTTTCTCACACACACACACACACACACTCTCTCTCTCTCTCTCTCTCTCTATATATATATATATATATACATCTTTCCCATTATGTACTATCTAGGGATAGCCACTCCGTATGTCTATACTCTGCATATCTGTACTCCGCATGTCTATACTCCGCACTGCATAATACTGCCGCAGTCACATAGACTGTTGTTGTTGTTGTTGTTATTGTTGTTGCTCCGATGTAAAAGACAAACGATCAACGACCGATTTCTTTCTTTCTTTCTCTCACCATCTTGATTGGCTCGGTCCCCTTGACAGACTCCCCTCCCCCCCCCCCCCCCCCCCCGAAAAAAGAAAAATCTCTTCTTCTCGTATCGATCGCTGATTTGTGGGATGCGCAGCTGCTGCACTTGTATCATCTCGTGTTTGCTGGGCTGCCGTGCCTCTCTTACACTGTGTCGGTATGTATCATGTATCATGTGGTCATGGGCATTCAGTGATATCCGTACGGGAGACTACGAGTACCGAGTACAGATTACATACGAGTACATCGTGTGTGTGCTGATACTTGATACCCGGTACAGATTGCATCTTGGGTAATACAATACAGGGCATGACCTGCCCTACACCTTCTCCACAACGGTCACGGTTGCACGGCTTTTTTCTTTTTTCTTTTTTTTCCCTCTGTTTTGCTGCATTGCTGTTACCGTCATCTGCGAGGACCGATTACAGGTACAGGTATATACAAGGTATAATATACTGATCGGATCGATTCTCTCCTCTCCCTTCCGCTCCCTTCCCCCCTTTTTCCTCGTCCCCCGTCCCGTCCGTCAGTTGCTTGTCTCTATCCTTGTCCTTCCTGTGCAGATCTCCCATGTAGAAACCCACACGTCACCCTGGTAGGTACAGGCCGTGACCTTGATCAGTCTGTCGCGCTGGTCTCCTCTCTTTTCATGCTCTCTCATGCATCCTTTCGGGGAGAGCGATGATAGCGTACCTGTAGTATTGTACACCATCATCGTATCGTACTCCCCCGGTCCCGCAACAACTGAACCATGTGCATTGTCGTACACCGTCTGTCATCTGTGCTGGCAGAGAGTAATATCATCATCCTGTATGACCTCCGTACGATATACCTAGGACTAGAATCCACTCATCCCTTTTTTTTTCTTCTCCTTCTTCTTCTTTTCTTCTTTTCTTCTTCTTCTTTTCCCCTTCTTCTTCTCCCCCCTCCTTCTCCGTTCGTTCCCCTCGCTCCCGACCGTGAACATGGCATGCATATCGGTGAGGGACCTCGTGGGTACCTGTACGTATCATGTGCAGTCAAGTCATTAAATATATATGATATTTCCGTTCCATAAATAAACCCTTTTATCGGGAGAAGGGGGGGGGGGGGGGGGGGGGGGGGGGGGGGGGGGGGGGGGGGGGGGGTGTGGGAGAAGGGGTTCCTTTTCTTCTCTTCTTTTTCTCTCCTCTTTTTCTTCCTCTTCCTCTTGTCTATATTGTCTCGCTCACTTCATCAACACTCGGGTGCATGGCAATGCATGCATGACCTGCGCTGCACTGCGCTGCACTTGACCGCAGCTCGTGTCTCTCTTCGGAGCCCTAGACATATTCTGATCTGAAACAAAACGTGCCAACGTTGACGGCCAGAGACGATGTACCGGATGCCACGGGGAGAGGGGGGCGCCAGTTCTACCCGTTGCAGGGCTCAGGTCCACTGTTTATCCGTCCTCGCTCTCGCTATGATATTGCTCGTATCTTATTAATGTTATTTACGAACCTACCGAGTCCGACGAGTAGGGAGTGTGTACCCCATCTGCGTTGAGAAGTTGAACCATGTCACTCGTACTCGTGCTGCCTGATTGTACAAGTAGTCGTGATCTGTACCGAGAGAGTAATCTGTATATAGGTCATGCGGCAGCAGTACATGTACAACCCTCATATTACTAGCTGTCAACGTGTGTAATCTTAATATTACCTAAAGCCAGAGAGTCCCATGGTCCCATAGTCCCAAGTCGTAATATTGCTTGCAGCTCATAATACGCGTTGCCATCTTAACCCCTCCTCCCTTGTCATTGTTAATATACATCCTTGTTTAGCGTCATGGGCGAAACAGTCTATACACTTGTACGTACGTAATTGGATTTATTTATTTTTTTGGCCTGTCTCAAGTCGTCTCTGATAACCTGTGCTGTATAGCAGTTAATGCTATATAGCAGTTGATTGCAATAGTTCACCCGTCCACCATAAACCCGGGGGGGGGGGAACAGTTCTACCAGCTTCCCTTGAAATCGAGTTGAGGGAACATCCCGAGCATGCTGAACTGGTGGGGGAGAAAGGGAGGAGGGGGGGGGGGCCCCTTTGTCTCATATATGTGCCTACATGATTGTACGGAGACTACTCCGTACGGACAGCAGAAATAAGATGGAGAGAAGTAACCATATAGTCTTCTGATACCAGAGAGAGAAAGAAGAGGGGAAAAAGGAGATGATGATAAAAAGATGAAAATGTTTGTGTTTGCATCAAACAGCCAAATGCAACCGGAAGAAGGGATAATCCGGGACCGAGGTTGTTGTCTCAGGATGACCTGACAAACATACTCACATATAACTATCACGATGAGAGTCATCCTAGAACGATACAGATATCGATCATCACAAACGCAAAGGCTCTTCCTGGAAGAAGGAGCTGATGCACCTGTGATATCGTAAGGTGACGATAAAGGAAGTAAAGACGAGACCAACAGAAAAAGAAGGGGAAAAAAAAGAACAGATGAATTCATCTAGGGTATCTACGCTATCTGTATCTGCATCTGTACTCCATCTGTGTGTGTGTGTGTGTATACTGCTGACTGCACCCAATGCCAAGAAGAGATGCTCTATCCTTGTATATCTAGTACTCCTGAATCCCAACCATACGATATCAAGGAACTGAGAAGACAGTAAAACAATATGAGAACAACGACAAAAACAAAAACAAGAAAAAACGACAGAGAGAGAGAGGGAGAGAGAGAGAGGGAGAGAGAGAGAGAGGGAGAGAGAGAGAGAGAGAGGACAGGATGAAAGAGGACGTCAAAGGAATGTGAAGAGAGTGAGAAGAAGAGCAAGGGATGAGTAAGGAGATGAGACGAGGAAGAGGATAAGAGAGAGAAGAGAACAAGAAGAAAGAGAAGAAAGAAAAAAATCACTACTACTCAAAACACAAGTCCCCCCCCCCTCTCGGACGTCCCTCCATCTTGACACAATCCCCCTCAGAAGCCGGACTCTGCAACCCGACATCGACAGAATACGCTGTAGCGGCTGATATGCGAGACATGTTATACGCCGTCAGATCCATCATGTGCGCATCTGCCATGTCCACATCAACGTGATGCTGATTCTGGTGAGCATTTCCGTTACTACCACCGCTGCTCGTGCTAGCCATGGATCTCAGGCTGCGCAGATCATCCGCTATGATGCCCTTGTCAGAGAGCGTCATCATCTGACGATATGGCTGCTGCTGCTGCTGCTGCCACATGCCATGACCGTGACCCATATTGTTAGGGTTGAACATGGCCTGCTGAGGTGGCAACTGTGGCTGTGATTGTTGGGGGAAGTTTTGCTGATGCTGAGATAGCATGGGCGGTCTTGCCGATCGACCTGCTCGTACGGGCGGCTTGGTCTGGAACGTTCGTCTCTGGGTGGCGTAGTAGTGCGCTAGGTGGGGGTGGGGATTATTTCCGCGGGAGATCTTGAACGAGAATTGGTCCTGCTCGGGCTGTTGCGGGGTTTGCGGAGCTTGATGCCGCATCATCTGTTGTTGCTGGTGCTGGTGCTGCTGGTGCTGCTGGTGCTGCTGGTGCTCGTGCTGCGGCGTATGCTGCTGCTGCTGCTGCTGCTGATGTATCATGGGTGATGGTTGACGCATCGTCCGGTGTCCCGGGATCTGCAGCTGGCATTCTTCGCTGACGGGTATACGAAAGACCTGGTGGATATCGGACAGGGTCGACGGGTCAGGCTGGTCAGATCCCAGCGCATAAGCGTACCGGACAAGCAGCCCGACGTTGCGGGGGAGGACGTGTCTCGTCTCGAGCAGCTTGCGCAGCACGCCCGTCGTCTGCGGCTGCCAGCGGAGATCCCGCGAGTCGGCGTCGGGGTAGGTGTCTGCCCAGGCGTTGAGGACGGCCGACTGGCGGAGCAGGTTGCGCAGACGCGTCGAGTACGACCACTGAGGCTGGCCACTGCCGCCGCCGCCGCCGCCGCCGCCGTCGTCAAAGTGCTTGACGACGTGGGCGACGTACTCTTTGAAGGTGGCAGGCGCGTCGGCGTCCGAGGACGACTCGAAGACCTGTATGCACCGGTCGAAGCCGCAGGCGAAGACGGTCTGGGGACACAGCGTGACCTTGACGTCCTCCGGCACGACGCGCGACCCGCCATGGGCCGTCTTCAGATGGGTCTTGTACACGGTCGGCCAGTCAAAGACCATGCCGCACCCGTTCTGGCCGCAGAACCAGAGGGCGTTCATGCTGTGGAAGTCCTCCATGTGGCGCTTCAGGTCGTTCTTGCGCGTGCACGTCTTGCGGATGCCTTCCTCCCTGCAGAAGCCGCACATGAACGTCCCCTTTTGCTTGGCCGAGTTGGTCGTCAGGACCGAGGCTGCGTCGTCGTCGGGGAGCGTTTCGGTGCTCTGTCTGTGGTCGAGCTGCTGGCGGACGTTGCTGCTGCTGCTCCTGCTGCTGCCTGCCATGCCCGACGTGACGGCGGTGTGGCTGCTGCTGCTCTTGCGTCCCAGCAGCTTGGCTGTTCGAGCCGACATGTTGGATATTATGCTCCCGCGGGCCGACGAGGCGTCTGACGCCGTGTGGACGCTGCTGGCCGAGTCGAATAGGCTGGGGGCATCGTCGGATCTGACGGATGAGTAGGTACTTGTTGTGAGGACGGAAGCAGTATCTGCGTCTGCGAGGGCCAGGTCAGTTCATCAAGCAGAGATGGCAGGTACGCAGCATGTACATGTACACATAAAAGAAAAGAAAAAACGGTCCCAAAGCAACACAGTCTTGATACAGAGAGAGAGCGCGAGGGTAGAGAAAGATTATTTGTGTTACGATAGGAATAATATATCAGAGAAAAGGCAGAAAAAACAAAAGACAAAAACGTACGCGACATAGCCGACTGATTCTCCTCTTGAATCAACCTGGCGAGCCCCTCGAGCGTATACTTGTTCATGAGCTGTCGAACAAGCTGGCGATCGAGGTCTTCCATTCCAGGATTTGCCAATGACGGTGGCAACGATGACGACGACGACGATGCCGACATGGTATTACTCCCATTTCCATTGTGCTCTTGCTGATGTTGGTGTTGGTGGTGCATCCCAATCCCACCGGAATGGTTATCCCAGGGGTTCGTCTCCATCGGGGAGGGAGCAGTGGAGTGTGTCGTCACCGCTATGGGGGGAGGGGGGGGGGTGGTCCCTCTCGATGGACGGAATATTTTTTGTATTGAGACGCGATCCTCGGAGAGCGGAGGGAGTTGACGATACTATGGCAGTCGTGGACTCGATGATGATCTCTTCTGTCTCTTGTCTCCCGCGGTGTGGTGAGGCGAAATGGAAAACAAAGGAACAAGGGAAAGAGCCAACCCACGGCGAGGTACAGTACTAACAGTAGTAGGAATAATAATAATAATAATACGTATGACTACACACGTCAAGAGAATTGGAGGGAGGGGGGGGGGGGGGGCCCTGTGTTTGTCTGTCCCCCAAGTTTATTTGGGGGCTGTGTGTGCGGCTGGAAGGAAGGAAAGAGGAAAAGAGGGAGATGGTGAGGGCGGGGGAGGCAAAGGCAGCTGATACGTGAGATAGATATGGTTGGCAATAGTGCAGAGTAATGGATATGGAGGACGGGGGGAGAGGGTAAAGAGTCGATACAGATGGGGGAAAGTATGGGAATATGGAGAGGATAGGGTATAGAGTCTCATTTTCCTCTTCTTCCCTCTATTTTCCTTCTTCTGCTTGCATAATAATCACTGGAACTTATTCCTCTTTTTCCTTTATTCTCTCGCCCGTTTTCCTTTATCACAAGCATCGGATATATCTCGTCCTTGAATCGTTGGTGTTGTTCTTATCTCTGTCCCAGATGAAAATATTAGTCAACAGTTTCATAAATCACGTGACTAAGCCCCCATCCACCGTTCTCATCCTTCCCATAAACTCACTCTTCCGCAACGCACTCTACCGTAATCCGTATCATGAATGGGTATTCATCTGCTGATCGATGCTGAAGTTTATCTGACGTTTACTGCCAACATCAACCATCATCGAAAACCATCGTCAACTTCATCCACTCCATCCACTCCATCCTCTCCATCCTCTCCGTTCAATTCCCATACCCCCCCCCCCCCCCCCCCCATTGTTCTCGCCCATCCCCAGGCGGATCCCCCAGACGGCAAACACTGGTCCGTCACCCGTTACCCCATACCGAGTAATGGAGACAAATACCGATATGTAATAGATTCGCCTCTCCCTCTTCCGAGCTGCACTCGTACATGTACTGCTGGCAACTCATCTGCGATTGTACAGATTATATCGGACACTTCCCATTACTCGCGGGTATTATCTGATTATTACGTCGTAGAAACTCGATAGAGTTAAAATCATCGTGCCCCTTCTGCCGTGCCATTACCCTCAATCAACCCGAATATCTTAACCCCACGTCTACCCACGTCCCACTCCTTCGCCCCGGCCCTCACTTTCGAGCGAGCGAAGCGAGAAGTGGAAAAAAAAAAAAACCAGCAGGGCTACCGCAGGCAATACCGGAGGGCGATATCAAAGTAAACACAGAGTATCAAAAAAAGATGGGGGGTTCGTCGGTGCACCGCGTTCTATAGATATTATTCAACACACAGCAACTGATATATACCCCCCCCGGTAGCCTTACCGGCGGGTTTTCTCTTTCCCCTCCGCGCTTCGCTCGCGACCGTTTGTGTAGATTCAATCCAAGTAATGGATTGCCTCCGGCAGCCCCACCGAGGGTCTCTACTTCTCGCTTCGCTCGCTGCCGATGGTACAGATATGCCCCACACGAGGGTTTCTCGCTCCGTCCGCACTGCTACACGTCCTTCCCGACAGTATAGATAGCACTGCCACTGCCCGGTCTGCTGACAACGATGGCCTGCCCCTTCTGCTCGTCGGTAAGCTCCCGCTTGGCGTAGTAGTCGCGCTGCAGGGCCTTCTGGACGTCGTCGACCCGGTCGGCAGGAACGAGGTGGACGGAGCAGCCGCCCCAGCCTGCGCCGGTGAGACGGCTCCCGTACGCGCCGGCGTCGCGCGCGATGCGACATATGTCGTCGAGCTCGGGACAGCTGCACTCGTACAGGTCGCGGCACGAGTCCTGCGTCTGGTTCATCAGATCGCCGAGGGAGTGGGCGAAGACGCTGGTGTCTGTGGCTCCGGTGTGCAGGGGGCTCTCGAGCAGCGAGAGGAAGCGCAGCACGCGCAGGGCCTCGGAGAAGACGTGGAGCGCGCGCTGGCGGAGCTTGAAGCGCTCGGCGCGCACGGGGCACCGCGACGTGAAGCGCTTCTCCAGCTCCGTCGTCGTCGTGCCCAGCTTCGACGCCACCTCTTCCATGGTGTAGCCGTCCTCCTGAGTGAGCGTCGACTCGGTCAGCTCGATGAGTCGCTCCAGCTCGTCTTCCTTCCGGAGCGAGCGCGGCGCACCCGTGTCGGCCCCGCGCTGCCGCGCAAAGTACGCCTGGTGGAATCCCTGCAGGGAGATGCCCAGGGGACCGGCGTCGGCCTCGAGCGGCGACGCCGCGTTGCCGCCGCCGCCGCAGAGCACCGCGTTCAGGTACGCCGCTGCAAAGCTGCACTCCACCACGCGCAGGTTGTACTGCACCGGCCCCGTCACGCGCTTGTTGGACGTCACGAACGACTGGGCAATCAAGAAGCACAGCTCCGGTCGCGTCGGGGGGAACTTGACTGGTCGGGCATCGAGGCGTGGCGTGAAGGATACGAACAGGGCTGAACCTTGCTGCGAGAGTACTGAGGCTGCTTGGTCGAGGCTGCTCCCGTCAGTACATGATGCGTGGAAAGGAAAGAGTAGATGTCGTAGAATCGATGTAGAAGGGAAACCGACGGGGGAACAGTGCATGTGTAGAGGGAGAGGGAGAGAGAGAGGGAGAGAGAGAGAGAGCAAAAACGAACCCCCCGGAATTGACACCAACCGCTCTCTCGCTGACAATGGCGAGCTCGGTAAGCTCCTTCTTATCGATGTCGGTCTCACCGTTAGCCACCATGACAGCGAGGGCACTAGCTGTGGTGAAGGCGGCGCTGGAGCTCAGGCCACCGCCGACGGGCACATTCCCGTCCATGACGATGTCCATGTCGACGGGCTCATATCCGGCACCCTTTCTGCGTCGCAGCGGGCCCAGCGCACCCAACAACCCGCTCTTGAAGTAGTTTGTCCACTCAAAGATGGTGGAGTCGATGTCGACGTCGCCGCCGAAGGGGACGGTGAACTCGTTGGGGGGGAACTTGTCGCCCTGAACGTTACGGATACGCACGCGAAAACCGTCGGGGGACGCCGCGGCCGAGGCGGACACGGCGAGCAGGGCGTCGGCGGTTATGGCCATGGGAAGACAGGCGTACAGGGAGTAGTCTATGTGCTCGCCTATGATGTTGACGCGGCCGGGCGACCGGGAGATGAAGGTCGGCGCGCGGCCGAATTCACTCGTGAACTTGGACACCAGGGCGTTCCATCGTGGGCCTTGGGTCGCAAGGGCGGAGGGGGGGTATATGTCTGAAAGGGCGTCGGCGTGGGGGACGATGGCGGAAGACATGTCTGGCGGCGTCGAAGGCGGGCTTTCTTCTTCTTTTCGGTCCTAGAGAGAGTGATGAGGACTTGCCTTGTATACCGTCAATGGAAACAGCTTGTGATCGAATCGACAGAAGAGAAACAGGTGTTTGTTGTTGTGAAAGAGTCAACTGTTGCTCCGTCTCACTCTTTCCCCAGTATTAGCCTGTATTCAGTATTTACTTAGGTCACCCCATCGCATGTGGGTGCCCCGCACTGCCCCTCGTTCACATGATGTCTGGTGACGATTGTACTGATGCTACGTTGTAGATTCGAAGGCGTCGAGGTAACTTGTGGGTAAGAGGGAGCGGAACAGTATCAAGCGAGATGCTCAGGTTGAAGGGAAGTTGGATGTAGAAGCATAGAGAGGTTGAGCTGAGTCGGTGAGAAGAACCGAGCAAACATCAAACTATCAAGGCTACAGCCTACATGTAGTCTCTTCTATTGATCTCCATAGCCCCCCCCCTTCCTCTCCCCCCCCAAATCTTCAGAACCAATATCGTGACTGATATACTGTACAGGTGATGTGCTGATCGCTATGTTACGAATAATACCAGTAGCACAACACGTAGCACGTATCACTCTGTGCATGTGCCTCCAGGCTCTATGACATTACATCAACCAGACGTCAACAAGCTGAATGGACACGGAGAGGGTGTTGATCTAACCGCTACCAAGTGTTGAGGTTTCCCTTGCTAGCTGAACCCTGTGCATGTCGTTTCTCATGCGATGGGTCCCTCAACACATCTCTTGCCCCCAAGCCTACGAGCATGATGATCTGTACAACTCTCTCAGCGTGGCCGTGCTCTACCCGGAAGTCGGCATCTCATCTGCGGCGGGCCTGAATCTGAAAGGAGGAGTCAAATGTGGGGGTTAGACGGCCAATGTCCCGCATACTCGTCAGTCTTCAGTGCTGATTTCCGGCATAGTCTTGACCGGTACAGGCAGGACTGTATAGTAAGTAGCATGTATTCGACAGACTACGTGTACCTATAGGCTGTAGCACGAGAGAGCACGGGAGAGATGGAGTGCTTACTGCTCTCAGTACACTCTACCTACGATTAAACGCCGTCTAGTGGGAACAGACACAGCACACTAGACTAGGCTCGGAAATCTCTGATCGAGGGGTAGGAGGTGCAGAGGAGGGGAAGAGGAGGCAAAGAGGGTCGCAGGATACGTACGAGTACGATGTATGGTACGGTACGTCGTAGGTCGTAACGAGTAGATTGGACTCTCGTCGCCACCACCACCACCAAGTGGGCCATTTTGATACGGAAACGATATTATGCCGAGTGCTATTCGTGTAGTCGTTGAGGAGAAGACCAGTAGTAATATCGGTCGTATATGTATTACTTGACAGCTCCTAAGTATATATAACTCATCGCCCCTCCTCTCTCCCTCCCCCAACCCTCTTTTTCCCACTCTCCAACCAAAGCTCCGTACGACAATCACCCGACTTCCACCTCCTCAGACCACAACGCAACGACAATCAACAACAAACAACCCCCAAACCAAAATCTTGACAATGGCTGGTGACTGCGGCTGCTCCTCTTCTGGCACCTGCAACTGCGGGTCTTCCTGCTCTTGCGCCAGCTGCGTATGTTCTTCTACTCCCTATGCCTCCCCCCCCCCCTCCTACTCCTACTTGCCCCACCTGACTGTCTCAACCCCCCCCTCCCCCCCCGCCTGCTTCGTGAAACTAACGCTCTCCCTGTCGGAACTAGAAATAAATTGCTTGCTGCTGAAAGATGCAACGAGACAGGACTGCCAGCCGGTCGAACAAGTTGATGTGATGACGATGAAGACGACGACACGGATCATGAGGGAAGAGTGATATCAGTGGCGGTGGATGTATGCGGGGACCGTAACATGTGCATCCTCTCGATTGTTTCTGCCTGTGGTACACGAGAGAGAATATGCGAGACATAAAAACAAACTTACTCGTGAACCTGCTCATCGTGAAAACAATGCATATCTTGGCATCAGAAAACCTGTCCGACTCGTGAGAATGACTTGGTCAGCAGCCCTGCAGAATGCGTGGGATTGCATCGTCCCCACTTTGCTATCAGATGCGACGCTGCAAAGGTTGACGTCAGCCTCTTCTCTCCCTTCTTCTTCCATTGCTATTGTGGGTAATGTAGACAGTCTTGGTCTGCATACGTCTATTACGTGCTGTCCATCTTGCCTCCCGCTCTCTGAATATTAATCTGGGGATGCCTCCGGTTCAGACCATCTGACACCCACCGGAATCACCATCGACGCCTCTTCTTCTGCGCAGGCACGCAAATGCCCTCCGGAAACAGGATCCCGTGGACGCGGAGAGAGATAGCCAAGTCTCCTCTGCGCATAGACTGACAGCAGCCCACCTCATCCACCGCCCCGCCGCCGATATACTCGTCTTGCAGGTCTCCATGGTCGACGAGGCCATCCGACAGGGGCGCCAGAAGCTATGTCTGATAACCAAGGTTGCGTCGCGGCAAATCCTTCCTAGGAGGGGCAGATCGGTGACCAGCATGCGCAATGTGCACAGCACGGCTATACATATGGACCCGATGAAGCAGGCAGACGAGAAGAGGAGGTCGTCTGCCGTCCTTGACTGGGTTTTTGCCAGGCTGCCGTATCGGATCATGGCCATGACGCCGAAGAGTACGGACGAGGCAGAGCAGGTGCCCGTGCTGAGGATGAGACTGGTCACGGGGAAGGGGACCCCCGTGCATAGGGCTACGAGGGAGATAATGTAGACTACTACCCCTAGCATGCAGACTCTGCTGCAGACTCTGTGTTGTACCAACACGTTCTGTCAGATTGTTTTTTTTTTGGCCAAGGGGAGGGGTCCAAATTTGTAGACAAAAAGATGAAGAGTCAAAAAAAAACAAAAAAAGAAGAATAGAGAGATATTGTGGATATGTAAAGAGAGAGGGCGAATACAGGGAAACACTCACAAGCTCTCATTGTACTCTCCGCCGGGAACCCTCCTCGGATACTCAATCTCTAGAGCAAGAAACACGAGGGACATGGCAAGTAAAGTCAAGCCCTGGAGATGATAGAGGACCTGTTGCCATACCTTCGGCTTTTCCTCCAAACCGTTCCCCTGGTTGCTGAGCGTGTCTTCTTCGAAAGGGACGTAAGGTGGTGGAGCGCTGCTGGGACGGTAAGTTGGTGGCATTGTCTCGGAGGTTGGCCGTCTGGAGGATCGGATGACTGGATCGAGCGTGTCTCGTCCGAGAGGAGAGTATGGCGGTGGTGGAGGACGCGGTATAGGGCAGCGGTGCGTTGGATCCATGACGGGCTGGTTCGGCAGGTTGGCGTGTCTGGAGGATTGATTGCATGGATCGAATCGTGGACATTCAACAGGCATCGTTGAGCTGGAAGCGACTGTCGAGTTTCCGTACTGCCACCTCCGATGCAGAACTGCTGTTTTGGTTAAGAGGGCAATACATCCTGAACAAGCACTGCATCGTCCATGTTCTCCTCTTCTGAACCTGCGAGCATACATATCAGACTCTGTGAAGTCTGTCTACTTTGAGTTGGAAGGCAATGATGACGGGTTCCGGTCTATACTGTAGCCGATGGACGATCAGCATCGCCGTATAGAGTCTGAAGTCAATATCGAGGCCCCGCCCCGCGCGAATGGGAGAGTCAAAGGACAAGATGATGACGGCGTCTTGGGTGGTATTACATGCATGCAGCTACTTTTATCCAATAACCGCACCGAAGGGGGAGTTTATCAAGGACGGAGGGAAAGGATGATGAGTCCGGAGCGATTGGGGGGGGGTTCTTTTCGCACACTGTCTCTCCCCCTACCTCTCCCCATACGTCTCTCTGTATATACGAATACATATACGGATGTATGCGTTGCGTCGACAGCTTTACCGGCATGTTGTCCAGGAGAAGAGGTGCCTTGGCCCGACACCAACAGATGGCTGGAGAGGAAGGGCCATCCGAATGAAGGAGCTGTAAGGGGGCCGGCGAGGGGCCAGTGAGGAAGTGAAGTATTGAGAGATTCAATAAAATTATCCCCGAGGCGTGATGGGTATAGAAGTGAATGTGAACATGGAGAGAGAGAGTTCTTATTGCTCCTACCTCATCGGTAAAACCCCGGTAGCTGAAACCAGTGTGATCCGTCGTCACTGATGTCAGCGGCCCAACGGATCCGTCGTTCCTAGCTCCTCCCCCCTCCCACCATCTCGCCACCTTGACATTGACGCGCTGCCTCTTCTATCCACTGTCGCACAGCTGTTCTTCTTCCCTCCTGGAGAGGTAGGCAGAGTCTGAAGACCAAGAGGAAGCCGTCTGACTTCATCTTAACATGACATTACTATAAGCTTCCCCTTCTCCCTCTCACTCGAACCCCCCCCCTTCCCCCCTCTTCCCCCCCCCTGCAATCCAACCTCACCCAAGCTGTGCTGAGCCCTCCGCCGTCATGGCATCGGGAGGACCGGTCATGGCCCTCGACGCGCTCCAAGCATCGCAGCAGCCGCCGCCGCGGCGACACCTCGACGCGCCTAGACGGTGCTTCATCTGCCTTACGGATCAGGATGCGTCTGACGCACCCGACTCGTGGGTCGACCCGTGCCCGTGCACGCTCGAGGCTCACCAGGACTGCATCCTGTCGTGGGTGACGGACTGCGAGCGCTCCGGGAAGCCCCTCAAGTGCCCGGTCTGTAAGTCGCCCATCAGCCTCGAGGGGCCCTGGGACCCTGTCGTGTCGCTGGCCGAGGCCGTCAGCGCCCGGTTCACGCGCGCCAGTCCTCTCTTCCTCTTCACCGGCGTCTCTCTCGGCATCCAGTTCAGCTCGCAGATGTACGGGGCCATGGCCATGTGGCTGTTTGCCGGCGGCGACGCCCTCATCGACTTCATGCTCGGCTCCGAGGTGCTCGACCGTCGCGGCCTGCCTGTCAGGTCCCTCAAGATGTCACGCGTCGGGAGCGCCATCGTCCTCATGAACATTGCCCCCACCCTGCTCATCAGCCAGCTCATGCCGCGTCTCGGGAACAGAATATTTGTCCCCATGGCCTCTATGGTATGCTCCCCTTCCCTCCCTCCCTCTCTCTCACTCTCTGCACTCAAGCGCCTGGGAAGCTGACGTGGATTTTACATGACAGTACGGTATCTACCACGTTATGCGCGACGAACACTTTGCCTCGTGGCCCCCCTCCCCCCAGCTCGCAATCGCCGTCTTCCCTTACATCCGCTCTGTCTACTGGAACCTCTGGCGCGAGTTTGTCCAGCCCTACGAGATCAGGCTCAACCGCCGGATCCTGGGTCTTCCCGTCGTCGAGCCCCAGGGTGGCGATGTGGACCAGCGTAACCTGAGGGCTGAGCGCAATGCCGAGGGTGGCGTCGTCGGCTTCCTGCAGAGCATACTCGACGCTCTCGGCCCCGAGGAAGAGGAGGAAGGAGGTGGTGGTGATGGCCAGAACATCCGTGTAGGTCGAGGCAACGGTGCCGGTCCCGACGGTCAACGCGCTGACCACGAGGAACTGATCCTCGACCTCGAGCTGGTGATCGGGAACGACGAAGATGAGGACGCGCAGGACGGCGCCCAGCAGCAACCGGCTGCTCCGGCTCCCCAGGTCCCGCCGCACCAGGACCAGGTACGACGGCAAGAAGGCCCTGAGCACGGCCACGAGGTACCGCCGGCCCCACCGGCTAACCGGCCCGGGCTGGGTACCATCCTATCCAATGTGTCCAACGCCCTGGTCAGCGCCCTCATAATCCCGGGCATCTCGTTTGCCATGGGCGAGGCTCTGCGACTCATGCTCCCCAGATCATGGGTGTCGTCGTCATCGTCCGGGTCGCTGCCGACTTCATCGCGCGTCTGGGCCCGTCAGAAGCCGGGACTGCTCCAGCAGCAGTGGGGTCGCAGCCTAGTGGGCGGCTGCCTGTACGTGGTCATGAGGGATGTGATTCGGCTGTATGCCAAGCATCGCAAGGTGGCCGCCATGGAGAATCGCAGGGTGCGTAATGTTGACAGGCCGAGGAGACATGTAGACAGAGAGTAGTGAGTGAATGGGTGTGCGTACAAGACAAAGAGTAGTAGAGCATAGGACGGAGTTTTTGGTCTCTTTTGGCTTCCGGTTCTTTTTTCAACTGTAGGATACTGTCAGACTTTCCTAAAAGAGTACTGCTGCTAATGCTGGTTGAGTAGATAAACATTAGTACATTGATTCGAGAGATATTTTTTATAAATATATATACATACATATATATATATTTAAAAATTTAAAATTTTTTTTTTTACTATTCTTCTTTTGTTGTATTATTACCTCTTTAAGAATGCTAGTGCAGGGTAGCATCCTTTGACTTGGGGGTGTTCCACTCTGACCCTTCCAACATGCCCCAGAATGTTCCAGTGCTGCAATCTGCGAGGGACCCCTCCCTAAAGTCGACAACAACCCGATTCTCCTGATAGCGGGGCATCGCCAGTTCTTCATCATCACCCTCCATACCTCATCCTCCATCCGCCTCTTGTACCTGGTTTTTTTTCCTTCCGAGGTACCGACCCGCTGTCATCATGGTAATAAGCACCCTTCCACCCCTCCCATTATCCTACCTTGTGTTCTCAGATAAGAATAATAATAAAAAGGCTGACCTTGTAACTCCCCTCCCCCCCCCCCCCCCCCCCCCCGGGCAGTCCCAAACATCCAAGCAGCGCCTGGCCCTGGCCATCTGCGACTTCCTCTCAACCTCCGTCGAGGACGGCACCTTGACTTCGGACGACAAGGACTCGATCGACGTGGCGATCAACTGCATAGCCGAGAGCTTCAAGGTGGACCCCACCGACAAGGACGCTCTCAGCGCGGCCGTGGGCACGCAGAACCTGGTTCAGATATACTCTGTGTACGAGAAGCTCAAGCAGAACTCGAAGGGCGGGGCCTCGGCATCCAACAACGGCTCCGATGGCCCGACGGACGAGCAGAAGAAGGAGGCCGAGGCCTTGAAGTCAAAGGGCAACGCCGCCATGGCGCAGAAGGACTACCAGTCCGCCATCGACTTCTACACCCGCGCCCTGGACCTCCACCCCCGCAACGCCGTCTACCTTTCCAACCGCGCGGCCGCCCACTCGGCCGCAAAGGACCACTCGTCCGCTCGGTCCGACGCCGACGCCGCCGTCCTCATCGACCCGTCGTACACAAAGGCCTGGTCCCGTCTAGGCCTCGCCCGCTTCGCCCTCGGCGACCCCCGCGGTGCCATGGAGGCCTACGCCCAGGGCATCGAGCATGAGGGAAACGGCGGCTCCGATGCCATGAAGAAGGGCTACGAGACTGCCAAGCGTCGCGTCGACGAGCTCGACGCCTCCAGCGCCAACGACAACCTCTCACGGTCCTCGCCCGGCGCTGGCGCCGGTGCCGGCGGTATGCCTGATTTCGGCAGCCTGGCCTCCATGTTTGGTGGAGGTGGTGCTGGAGGCGGCGGCGGCGGCATGCCCGACCTCAGCTCCATCATGAGCAACCCGATGTTTGCCAACATGGCTCAGAGCCTCATGTCTAACCCGGACATGTTGAACAACCTCATGAGCAACCCGCGTATTCGCGACATGGCCAATCAGTTTGGCGGCGGCGGCGGTGGTGGCGGCGGCTTACCCGATATGAGCAGCCTCATGTCCGACCCTGCTATTGCTGAGATGTAAGTAACAAGCAAGCAACCAAGAGGGAGTAACCCAAAAAAAAAAGTATACTGACAGAGTTGCAGGGCACGGAACATGATGGGCGGTGGCGGCGGCGCTCCCGGTGGTAACAACAACAACAACAACAGCAACAGTGGTAGCAACTAAGCATGTCTTTTCTTCATTCGTCGTACACCATTCATGATAGTATACAATGATTTTTTTATTAAAAAAACAAGCAATGTCTTTTCTGTCTTAGAAAAGACTACATTCAAATCGCATAAGATGAAGAAAGAACTATGTGGATGAAAAAAAAAAAATAGGACAAGTACATTGAAAAAAAAATGAAGATTATATTTGAAGAAAACTATAAGCAATCATACGCCATGCCCTCCATATGCCTGGGGGGTTGGGGGGAGGGAAATCAAGACTAGAGATATACAAACACGAACGGCCACGGTGCTTGCTGCATCAGCACTCCCAGTTTACGAGCCTCTCTGGCATCCATCCGCTCGTATGCATGAGAGATGTCTTGCGCTGAGACATGGAGGAGGCGAAACCCTGACCCATGATCATCCTGTTGTCCATCTTGCAAAGGTCCTCGACAAAGGACCACATCATACAGTCCTCCCAGCCGTCACAGGCGGCCTTGCAGGCCTCGACGGACTGCCAGGCATCGGCCCAGAGGTCGGCGTCGTACTTGGTTCCGTCCTCGGGGGCGGGGGACAACTCTTTGGTGCTCGAGGCTACCTCGTACTGGCTGGCTGTGTTGTCCCACCACTCTGCGTCGGACTGGATGCTGGGCAGGATCATGTGGTTGAAGAAGTCTCTGTACAGAAGGGGTTTCTGGATATCACAGTCAGCATATCATCGGAAACTTGCAAAGGAGAGAAGAGAAGGGAAGCAAGTCGAGGACATACACTAAAGTCCCAAGACTTCTCAAACTCATAGTACCGAGCTACATCACGGCTGTGGACCTTGTGAAAGGACTTGAGATGATGACACCAGTTGCTCCTGCTGAAGACAAAGGTCCAGTGGACGAGGGGGTTGAAGCCCCAGGTGAACTTGCCGTCGCCGCCGTTCTCACCGAAGCGGACGCCGTGGTCGCGGAGCGCGAGGCCGAGGACCTGGTCACCGCAGCAGTGGTCCACGACGTACTGGTGGTAGTCCTCTGCCATGCGGGGGTTCTTGCCGAACGAGGCCTCCCAGGCGCCGCGGGAGAGGGCGAAGCCGGCGCCGCCGTGGGCGAAGACGGCGTCGGACTTGGCGGCGTAGCTCCCGAGGTAGTGCCTCTCGCGCCAGTCGAAGCCGGCGAGGTAGCTGCGGACGGCGGGCAGGAAGAGGTAGGTGTCGTCCTCCATGTAGACGTACCACTTGGCGCGGGGCCAGTTGCGGCCGGCGTGCTGCATGAGGGGCAGGAACTTGTACTTGTCGATGATCCAGCCGCCCACGGGACCCCACTCGTCGCCGTCCATGCCGGCGGTCTCGACGTAGTAGTTGTTGGCCGCGTACTCGGGCTGCTGGCGGTAGACGTCGAAGTCGGACGAGTTGTGCACCGCCGCCGACATGTTGGCCAGGGAGTCGATGACGGTGAAGCTCCCGATGGTCTCGGCGTTGTCCGAGTAGATGGCTATGCTGGACGGCGAGATGCGCTCGGCCGACAGCGTCGTCGCCAAGTGCACCAGCAGCCGCTTCCACATGGTCGTGCCGCCCGTCTTGACGATGAGCAGGATGTCGTCGTCGTCCGGGAGCATATCGGACGAAGAGGTCTGGTTGACCGACGAGTCATCTTCTTCCTGCTGCTGTTTCAGCTTCTGCTCCTGTTCTCGTTGCTGTTCTTCTTGCTGTTTCTGTCGCGATGCGTAATCCTCCGCGGTCGACTCATCCTGGATCTCCTCCTGGTCGTAATAGTAGGCCGTCTGAGCTTTGTGGCTATCCGTCGCCTTGGGAGCGACCGACTTGCCGAGGTCCTCGACCGAAGGGTCTATCAGCCAAACGGTCAGGAGGAGACATATGGCGATGATGACGGCCGGGACGATCCGGTTGTTTCTGTAGCTGACGGTCATGGTTCGATGACTTTGGACCACGCACTATGAGCCTTTTTTTTTTTTCCTTCCCTTTCCTTTCTGTTTCTTTTTCACTCTGAAGACGAAGAGGGGACATTCTATATCCCCGAGGGAGGTATTAGAAGGATCTGCGAGTACAGGCTACGCATGGGGGGCATGGGGCAGACACAAATCCCCCTTTAACGGGATTTGCTACTTGGTACGAGTCCGACCGGACCCCTGGACTATGCCAAGGAACATGATCAAGGGGGCTAACTGGACGTGGGGTCCCAGCCTTGTCGAGAGCTTCCACAGATTACTTGTAATAATACAAGCGAGACCCTGCACAGCAAGAGAGACAAGGGCTTACATGCATCTCTACAACGTACGAGCCCTTTTTCTTCCTCTCCTTCTCCTCCCCCTCCTTTCTGCATGCAACATTGCGCCATAGAAGCAAGTTGCTCGTAACAGGAGATTATTCTCCTCGTACACGTACTCGTAATGGATAGATACCCTTCAACCGGACGGGTTCCCCGTATCATTCTGCTTTCAATTGTGGCGTCTGCTGCCAGTAGTCAAGAAGCACAGCCCTGACTTCCTAGTTTTGCTACGACCTTGGCAGGGACTTGTCAGAGACTTATTGATTCAGGGTCCAATGCCCGGTCCGAGCCGAATCATCCGAATCATCTCGCTCTCGTATTGATGAAACTCGACCCGAGGTCTGGCATATTGGTAATACGAATTCATTTGTCCGTTCATATGCCGGGTCAACAGTGACTGAACATCAAAGCGTCCTGAGCATTGAGTCTTAGGAGGAGGGGGGAGAGCTGTATTCAGCCTTATCCCGTGCTCTCGTATTGACGTGCGAGTATTGAATACCGAGCACATGTACATATGTACCATACTGCCGTCCGAGACGCGGTTCAACCTTAGTTCCTTACTGTAGACACGAACGAAACGCCAACAGGCTAAGAACCGACGGCTCGCATTGTGTGGAAGATTATACGGAGCTACTCATATGCAACAGCTCGAGGATTACGATGTCGTAGGCAGGTTGCCGATAGCCAAGCCGCTAGAATGCTCTTGACGACGTGAAGCCCGTAACAAGTCAAGGCAGACGAAGTTGGATGGGAAAAAAAACTCTCTCCTTTTAATTTCGGTATTATACTAGATGAGCATCTGACCCAATCTGTAAGCTTACTTGGCTTGCAGGAGTCTTGTGGGGCCAGAAGAATACTCCAAAAAGTTCAAAGTACGAGTCGATACAACGTACGAGTCGAGACTAGAACGAGCATAGTCCAAGACCCCAATATAAGTCGTTTGACAGAGCAGGGGTAGTAGGTAGGCCTTGTCTGTCTTGGCTCGTCCTACTCCCTATTCCGTATAGATGTTATTGCTCGGAAACTAAAAAAAGAAGCGGCCGAAGAGAAAGAGCGGGAGAACAAAGGGTCCCCCCAACCATCCGTTATGCCAATTCCCGTCGATGCATATACAGGTACATCAAATGCGAGTATTTGTCAAGAGGGAGCGAGCGAGCCCAGGGTATTATCAAGCTATTAATACTTATACTAATTGCTTGTCGATTTTGTCGAGTTGTCGAAAATAGTTTCCTCTCATCCTGTAGAGCTCTGCAGTCATCCATCCTCTCACTCATCCACTCAGTCGTTCATTCACCAATTCCTTCATCCATCCTGGCAGACGAGGCCTCCCTCTCTCACTCGTCACTTGCAGAGTGAGAGTGAGTTTAGGCTCACACACACGCGCACACACGCACGCACACACACATCTTGTTTCCGCAGTCACCAGCTCCCTTCGCCAGAACATCATGTCCATCCAAGCACAAGCACCACCTCGGGTCTCCCCCCTCCGCCAGCTCGTCAACATCCTCGGCTGCATCTTCTGCCTCCCGATGTGCTGGGCCGCCACCGTCCACTGTCGCTGGCCCGTGACCCTCGACTTCATCCTGACCGTCACCCTGACCGAGCTGAACCGCTATGTCAACGAGGGTCGACGCATGGCCCTCCGCGAGCCGGCCGGCGGCAGACCCCTCTCCCCTCCTTCCCCCATGTTCAAGGAAAAGATGGATGACCCGGAGAAGGGAACTCTCGCCATCGAGACCATCCGCCCCGTCGGCTCATCTAGGCTGGACTGCTTAGCTAGTGTGGTGGGATGGCGCGAGGACCCCGACCTGTTCACCCGTGCGCTCGAGAGTTACAAGGCCTCCAAGGGTTGTGTGTTTCTCCTGGTGGGTATCGACGGTGATGAAGCCCAGGATATGGAGATGGTCGACGTCTTCAACGCTGTAGGTTTTCCCTTGTCCTCATTTTCCCCTATCGATCTCTCTCTCTCTCTCTCTCTCTCTCTCTCTCTCTCACGCACACACACTCTCTCTGTCTCTCCCTCTCTCCTCCTCACTTACAACTCATCGCACCTTATGAATGTACCCTCCTGACAAAGAGTCGAAACGCAGGTCTACCCCTCCAACTCGGCAACAATCCACATACCGAAGCCTCTGGGCGAGGTAGCCCAGGAGCTGCGCAGCAAGGAGGTCTCTATGCGTCGCCAGCAGGGACAGCCCGTCGACCTCACCGAGATAGACAGGATGGTCATGTCGCACTGCTTGGACCTGGCGCGCCGCCACCTCTCCCAGGCGGGCGTGCACTTCAGCGGTCCCGACGCCACGAGCCAGCTGTGCATCCGTCAGCGTCACATGCACAAGAAGGGCGTCATGTTCTCCACCTACGTCTTCTCGCTCGTCATCGCCGACGCCCTCGGCGTCGAGTTCCTCTGGAGCAGCGACTCCGACACCCTCGTCCTCCCAGACTCGCTGTCCCGCTCCGTCGAATCCATCGCTGTAGACCCCTCCATCGGCGGTGCCAGCACCGCCCTCATCCTGCACAACAGAGACGACGGCGTCATCGCAAAGCTTGCGGAGACCGTCTACTGGGGCGAGCTGTACCTCACGCGCTCCATGCCTGCCGCTACCGCCACGAGCGACTGTCAGAGCGGTCCTAGCACCCTCTTCCGTCTCTCCGCCATGCCGTCCATCTTGGTGCCCTGGTATCTCCAGACCATCTGGGGCAAGAGAATGGTACGTACAACGCATACCCGCAGCTGCCTTCAAACCCCCGTCGCCTCCGGAGGCCCTACCAAAGGAGGGGGGGGTTCCATCTCGCTCCGCTCGCACCTCCACCGCCCTGTATAAACCTGCCTACGGGGTGGTCGTTCTCGCTACGCTCGTCTTGCCGCATACTGACAGAGAGACCAGATCATCAACGAGGATCGCCACCTGACGACCAACCTCCTCCTCCGCGGCTGGGGCGTAGTCTTCGCGTCCGACGTGGCCGCCGCCACCGACACGCCGACCACCATGGCCCGCTGGCTCCGTCAGCAGGTCCGCTGGGGTCGCGCCACGCACATCGAGTCCCTCCTGCAGCCCAAGATCTACCCGATGAACCACCCGCTCCTCTTCTTCAGCATGGCCAAGCGCGAGAGCGGGCCGGTCGTCGCCTGGCTGGCCGTGGTCTACTACTTTTTCACCTCCAAGACACTCATCACCATGGAGCCCCCCGACCTGCTGGTCCGCTGCATCGCCGCCCTGGCCTACAACATGCTGCGCAACCCCCACCGCCTGCGCACCCGATCGCTCAAGTGGGTCATCCCCGGCGTGGCCTTCTACCACATCCCCCTCCCCGCCGTCCACGTCTGGAGCATGCTCACCCTCACCGCCGACGGCTGGGGCACCAGCATGAGGGCAAGCGGCGAGCGTGCAAAGAAGGAGAGCGTCCGTCAGGCCTGGTTCGAGACCGGCTTCTTCGTCGTCTGGATGGGCGTCGTCGCCGGCTGTCTGGCCAAGTGGCTCAGCAGCTCGGTCTTCGTCATGAGCAGTTCGTCCTTCTCCTTGTTCTTCGTCGCCAGCATGGCTTCTGCATCGTATGCTGCCTGGCGCTTGACTGTTCGCCAGACGTGTTGATATCTTTCCCCGTCGCTGTTCGCATCATTGCATGCCATGACTTTTACATGTTCCTCTTCACCTTTTATAGCATTCCACCGGTCTCTCTGGCATATTATTAATAACACATCGCATCTCGCATTCCATTCTCTCGTGCATCGTGTGTAGCATGTGCTTCCGGCGGCCCTGCCGGGGGCTGTCCTCGCTCCGCTCGCTTCTCTGCTCTGAAGGGAGACTCGACACCAGCTCACACTTACACCAAGTCTATACGCCAAGTCTATAATTATGCCTCCGGCGGCTCCTACCGGCGGTCCTTCTCACTTCGATCGCTTTCCTACCAGGGCCACTTGCAAGAGACTAACGTATCTTGTCTCCGGCGGCCCTACCGATCAAAGTCATGTGCTGTCCTCCTCTTCCTCCTCCTCCGCTTACGTATTCGCCCTTCCGATATAGATTTCATGATCGGCAACGACACGGCAAGCTCCGCTGTCAATCGCACATATTGCTCGCACATGTACATGTACAAAGCAAGCACCATACCCCTACTTCTCCACCCCTCCGCCCCCTTTCTGAAGTCTTTGATGCTCACCTCACACCGACAATCCACAGACTAGGAAAGGAGTATGCATATATCGAGGGTGGGAACATGACAGGAGAGGAAAAAAAAAAAACAGACACAGACGCTGCCCAAGTGGCCAAGCCCATTGTGCATTTACAGGTAGAAATTTACGGCAATACTAATACTCGTACATATAATCTGCACGGATTACAAGTACACGTATTATCCCATCGAGGATTCCGGGGTGCAGTCACAACAATTTACCCGTACAAGGCGTACATGTACTCGTGCGCTACTCCACCTGCAATCTTAAAATCTCTGTACAGATTACGGAGTATATGCTACTCGTATCAATACATAGTATGGAAGAGGGGGGACGATCATGTACGAGTCTATGTATACGAATCTACAGATTACACTCAGCACCCTGACAACCCACCAACATCCTTAATCCATTAATGCTTCATGTCCCCTGACCTGGCATACTCATACTTTGCAGATGATAGTGATCTGTAGTTGCCAATTCTTCTCAACGTCCCGACATGTTTAATTTCAGGCTTTGCTTCCTTCGCCGAATAACAAACTCGGACATGGACCTGACTCCTGGGCGGGACGCAACACGCGAGACGTCACTGGCAGATAAGTCGTGAGCGCCCTGCCAATTATCACTGAGTATTCATACATGCATACCCCGTACAATTCCGGACTGATCATCTACAGTCGCACTCCTTTCGTATACTAGCACCCCTGACCCCAATCGAACGCATCATGCCCATCACTTGTCCGACCGTATTAAATCTGTAAAGCACACCCGTTGTAACGTCCCCCCCCTTTTTATGCTATTTCTTCAATATTGACATCAGACTCCCGAGCCATACGACGCGCACTCATGCATTCGTCACCTTCCGCTGCCCCCCTCGTCCCCGTCGGCTGCGACCCCAACCCCTTCCACCGCGTCGGCCTTCGTGCCCTCTGTTCGATGATGTGGTACCCGAACCCTTGTCCATGTCAGGACTAGTGACTGGCTTAGTGCTGGTCGCTCTCTCGGTAGCGTCCAGGGTCAGCGACCCTTGCGCAGCGACAGCCGCTGCCGCAGCATCAACTGCCGATTTTCCCTGATCCCCGTACTCTACATCTTTCCCCTCGCCGCCGCCTCCATCTTCTGCAGCGTCCTGGGGCAAGGGAGTGGTTGGCTGAAGTTGTGGCCCCATCGGTGGGGCAGACACGCGGCGGACGGGCACAAATGCGTCGGCATCCTCCGTGGCCTCGTAGATAGAGCTTAGCTCTCCGTCGCTGCCGTCCGAGTCTTGGCTACCTTGAAAGGGCTCGCTCTTCGACTGGATCCGGCGTGAGTATCGGGGGCATTTTAGTCCGTCGGGGACCTGAGCTTTCTTGGCGGCCTCTGCCGGGAAGTTTGATGGGCCCGCCATGACAGGGTCTGCTGCTGCGAACAGATCAGCTTTGCACTCTCAAGGGCCGGGGCAAGAATACTCTCAAGGGAAGGGGTACTGCTCACAGATCCTCGCCTTCTCGGAACTCTCTGGCTTGTCGGCCACGCCTTCATCTTCAACCTTCTCCTCAGCCTGCTTCCCAAATCCCAGAGCACGGTTGATAGCCTGCTGAGAGACCTTGATCTTTTGATCATTCTTGCATTGTCCAGGTTTGGTAATGAGCTCGCTAGCAGGCACCGGCTCGTCGGCAATGGAGACTGACTCGGTAGCCTCTGGCATGGGCGGCATGCAAGCTTCGTCAGATACGTCCAAGCTGGTCCGGGAGCTGGAAGCCGCCTTGCTCGTCGCGGCACCCGACTCTTCGGATGTCGACTGGCGACGCTCCGGTGGAATGATATATGCTCTCGGAGGGGCATTCCGGGGTCGAAAGGTGGGAGCAATAGGGCTGAGCAGAGAGCTCCGGGAGCCCTGGCAACATGGTCAGTGCCATTCTCAGGCATGGGTATCGTGGCCCCATCATTCTTACCTCTCTCGCATGACGGCTGTCAGCTGCCGAGCGAGTGCTGGCCTGTGTTTCCTAGTTCACAAGCTGTGCCTTGAGACCGGAGCTTCGCTTCATCTTGCCATTCAAGCCGCTGCTGGTAGGCTTTCTCTGTGGGAGGTCATTGACGATCCCCGCAGCCTTCAACTGGTCATCCTCGTCATCCTCGTAACTGTGAGGCTCGAGGAACGACTGCTTGGACCACAGATCGGCGTATCTGCCCTTCTTGCGGATCAGCTGATCGTGAGAGCCCGTCTCTACAACACGCCCCTTTTCTATCACGACAATGAGGTCGGCATTCATAATGGTCGACAGTCGGTGCCTGTGACGGGGACATTCAGTGTCAGTAACCATGCCAGAAGTGCCAGACGCACGGGTCAGTGGCAAGACATCAGCAGTGGGCACCGTGAAGACCGTGGCAAGAAATGACTTACGCAACAATAAAGGTGGTGCGATTCTCGCACAGTCGCTTAAAGGAGATCTGAATCTGCTGCTCCGTGTCCGTGTCCACGGCACTCGTCGCCTCGTCTAAGAGGACCACATCGGGCTGCTTCAGGATAGCCCTGGCAATGGCGACACGCTGAAGCTCACCGCCGGAGAGTTTCCTGGAAAATGACAGATTAGCTTTCGCATCGTTTCTGGGTCTTGGCCGGCTAGAAACTTACACGCCGTGCTCGCCAACCCTTGTATCGTATCCTACAATGATTTCATCAGCAAGGGCCGAACCCCTAAGAGACAGTGAACAAACCGTCGGTAAACTCCAGGATCTTATCGTGGATGCAGGCAGCTCTGCAGGCATCGTAGACTTCGTCATCGCTCGCCGTGATCTTGCCGTAGCGAACATTGTCCATGACACTGCTGTCGAACAAGACCGGACTCTGCGGTACCAGGCCGACGCGGTCTCGAAGGCTAGATGGGCATTGCGTGTCAGCGATTGCGAGCCGAGTCTCTAGACCGACTGTCACGCTCCTCCTACCTGAACAGATCAACGTCCCTGATATCCTGACCGTCAAAACGTATACCACCATCGGTCACATCGTAGAAGCGATCGAGGAGCTTGAGCAGCGTCGACTTTCCGGCTCCCGTGGATCCTACAAATGCCACCTTGGTGCCGGGCGCTACGCGCAGGTTGATGCTCTTCAGAACCTGCTTTTTTCCGTCATAGCTGAAACAGACATTGTCAAACTCAATCTCTCCGCCACTGTACTTGAAGGGCCGGGCACCCTTCTTGTTCTGCACGGTAGGCTGCATCTTCATGATTGCGAGGAGCTTTTCGGCCTTGACAAAATCGTCGCTGATATTCTTGCCGAGCCTGGAGAAGAAGTTGAGGGGTGCACACAGCTGGGCCCAGTACATGAGGAGCATGGCAAACTGTCCGGGGGTGGCCTTTCCGCTCTGGATGCGACGCACGGCAATGAAGGCGCTCGTCGTCAGACCCAGAGTCAGAATGCCGCTCTGGAGGGCGACCGAAAAGTTCCATCCGAGGATGTACTGCTTCTCCTTGAGCCAGCGAGTAGCAACAGCGTTGGCGTGTCGATTGTCTTCGTATCCGAGCTGGTTGAAGGCCATGGTCGTGGGCCAGGCGACGAAGCCGCTGGAGCGGATCGAGTACTCTTGGAAGTGGGCAGCAACGCGGCTTCGGCTTGCTTCCCTGGACTTGCCGACCAACCTGCTCGCCAGGAGGAGGAACACGGTGCCAGTGACGACGGTGGTCAGACCCTCGTACGGCCCAAAGGTGACGGACAGGTACACGACGGCCACGCCCAGATCGATGAACATGGGAAGGGCGCGTAGGAGGACCGTCTCGACAATGTTAGAAACGGCGCTGCCACCTTGAATGGCCATCATCATATCAGACGTGCTTTCGGAATCGTGGAAGTCGGCAGAGAGATGCATGATATGGGAGAAGGCCTCTCGGGAGATGGTCTCCGAGGCATAGTACTGGACGGGAATCCAGAGCCACTGGCGGAGAAGTTCAAGGCCGGATTCGGATGACGCCAGACGAAGCATGATGTATACCAAGACGGCAACCCATGCGTTCCCATCCCTGGTCCCGCTCAGACTGTCCATGATGACACCCATCTGACGAGGGATGAGGACATTGAGAAAGTTGGAGACGAGAAGACAGATGATGACGGCAACGGCCTGTAGCTGGAGTCGTGGGATTCCGACGGGCCAGATATATGGGAAGAAGATCTAGTGAGGCCAGATTAGGTTAGAACACGCCGTAAGAGGTGCATGCGAGGAGCATACGAAATAAGCATGTCCAATGAGATGCATGTAGGAGACGTAGCATTCAAGAGGCCTCATGCAGGAGACGCACGTGAGAGGCACAGTGCGGCACAACGCGTTGAACGGGCAGAGCAGCGTATAGTCAGAGAGTAGCCTCCGTTTGCATGCTCTCACCCTCCCCCAATAAGACTCTGCCCTTCCCCGGCAACAGAAAAGGGAGAGATAAGAAAAGGGAGAGAGGGTGGAAGGAAGAGAAATCGCGGGGAAAAGATTCATGGGAAGCTCACCTTGAAGTCCTTGACGTAATTGAGCCAGTTGCCGCTAGCTTCCAACCTCTTTTCCATTATTTCCTGATGCTGCCTTCTCCTGCGCTGCCAGGGAGTCTCGGCAACATTTGCGCCGCCATTCTGTGTCTTGTTGGTAGTACCATACGACTGAGGCTGCTGCTGCTGCTGCTGCTGCTGATTTTCCGTCGTAGTAGAGGCGGCAGCGGCAGCAGGACCTGCGGGTTGGGTTGAGCTGGAGTTGGATCCATCGTCATTGGGCTTATTGATGAGGGGTTGCCTCTCCTCATCGAGCGGCTGGCAGGACTGGCTGGTGACCTGGCGCCAGTAAAAGAAGGCAACGAGCAGCAGGAGCAATGCGCACCGTACAGATCCGGCAACAACGTCGGCGAGAGTCCGCGTCTTGGAGGGAGGGCGGTGGTTCCCAACAAAGGGGGATACCGTGATGACGGCTTCAAATGGCAGGGCCAGTATCCAGGAGCCGCAGAAGGGGTACCAGACTGGCCTGGAGACCTCAAAGAGGCGGCCGATCTGGAGGGAAAAGACGAGAAGGCAGGAGAGGTGACCGATGACGAGATCATCCTCGGCTGGCAGGAGACCCAGCAAGATGGAGCGGACAAGGATGATGATGAGCTGAGCCAGGTGAGCTAAGACGAAGACGGTCAGAGCACCGAGAGCCACGAGCCTCCTGGGGTCGGCATCGGTTCTCCTGGCCGCGGCGTGGCTTTGGAGGGTGAAGGCGACGCTGACGGAAGCAATGGCGAAGTAGGCGAAGACGACGACGGGATAAACGTAGTGGAGCACCACGAGCGCCCCATCATGAGAGGCCGTCATATTTGGCGAGGGAAGAGATTCGCGATGCCCGTCTGCACCGTGGTATGTGTGTGCGCGCGGTGCGTGTCAGATGTGAGACGGCGAGAGGGAGGAGAGACAGGACCGTATCAACGACTGTAGTAATAATATGTTGTCACCCCTGGCGAAAGCTGGCGAGGCTCATAGAAGGTGGCGAGCGATTTGGCGGCAAATTTTTTTTTTCCTTTTTCAGTGGGCGTGCAAGCAAGCTAAGCGAGTCTCCAGGTGAGAACCAAGGCCCCGGTTTTTCGTCACTGCATGCACGAGTAGAGTAAAACCCGGGTGAACGGAGAATTTTTTTTTTAATAGAAATCAGGAGACTGAAACGAGCTGGTGAAGAGTTTCAAGAGAGACACAGAGAGGAGGGGGGGGGGGGGGGGGGGGGGAGGTCGAGAAGGACTAAATCAAGACAAAAGACGGTAAAACGGCTGTAACGGCGGTGGAGATGAAGAGACACAAGCGAGGGTGCGTGTCCTGTCCAGGGTTCACGACCCAATTCGGATTTATCGTGGTGAGCATGAGTCCATGTAGGAAGGACGAGAGGAATCAGCAAGGAAGATCACAGCGACGGGCAGACAGGTGAGGGAGAGATGTGAAGAATTAGATGGAAACAAGACGACGACTCAATGGCTCCTTCCATGTTTTGTTTTTCTTCTCCCGCTCTCTTCCGTTTGTTGGCCAAGAGGAAAGAAGGCTGAGAGGGAAAAAGAGCTCATAGGGAAGGAGACGGAAAGTGACCAGGGTATGGGCAATATTAAATACAAGGTTGACGGAAGGAGCAAGGGGAGTCGTGGAAGCACAGCAACGGTTGTTATATAAACTGCGAATGACTCTTTCCACAGTATAATACGGGCTGGGCTGATTGCTGTATAATCTGCAGTACGTATACGGTACGCGTTACCCAGGCGTTTTCATAACAATGATACAGCAGACGTACAGGTCATTGCCGCCGCTAACATATGTAATAATACCCTATGTTGCCTCGAGTCTTTGAGGCTCTGCGTATTCAGCCGACGAATGATTAGGGGTTACGGATTACTCCCTTCTCTACTCGTACATGTACAACACCTAGTTTCCAGTTGCAGTATTCCACAAAGGAGGGGAGCGGATCCATTTTCCTGTCTGGGCGAACACTTTCAGCCTTGCATGAAGCCACGGTACTTGTAGCTGGCTTGGTTTGGTTGGAGCTGGAGTAATTGCCTATTCTTTTCTGTAATCCTCCTCCGGCGGTGTCTCACACCGCAATAATATATTATTGGCCATGATCAATAGGCTAATTGCTACTCGTACTAATCTGTAATACTGTACTGTACCGTGCTATTCATGGCATTTGTATCTATAATACGGCATGGACCGAAGGGCATCATGCATACATATGCATATATATATACGGAGGAGTCATAGTCTGTTATTACTAACATCACCACCATACTCAAGGGACAATCGGTAACCGCTAGCCATGTATGTACCTGCATGTACGGATAGTCACGGTCCATAACGTCAGACGGTTTCGACTTTTCCTACAGCCACGCGGAGTCGAGGCTTTCCTTGTATATATATATCCTTGTATATATCGTACACGTCGGTCCGCGGAACCCGTCTTGAGCGTGCTACACATCGCACCCTCACGGACTTGTGTGTGTTGGCGGGACGCCATAACGAGAACCCCAACAGCAAAGTGCAGCATGCAACTGCAACATTTTCAAGATGCACTGGTACCACCACTGATACTAGTGTGCCAATTGATGTCGTGAGCACATATGGTAACGATTCCTCGTAGTCCGAGCATTGTCCGTTCTCGTACTTGCACAGAGCAAAAGGACCAGAACCATGCTCGTGCTCGGTCAAGCCGTCCATCCCCACCAGAACTGTGGTATCCCTGTCTTCCTTTATCCGCTTACCTTGGTAGGCAGTCTGAGGCAGGTGGCGAGCAGGCAGGGCCCAACGAGGAATGGTAGGTCCGTGGCTGCCGTACCCCGTACTTGCGCACTCCATATATGTATTCGGTGCGATTCCTGCGGCGCACGACTGCGAACACTGTACGCCGCATCACCGTACACCAACCTCGTGCTACCGTGCTGCGACACTGCAACGGCTCTGCCTCCGATGGCGTGTCACTGTCACTGCGTGAAACATGTAACAGCCCCTCCTGGCGTCTGCTGGCATTCTCGCAGAAGCAGATACATCGCTCCCTCCACCCGCTCTCTCCTCTCCACCTCCGCGATTCTCATTTCTTTTTCCGCCCTAGACGATGCATAGGCACCAGAACTAACTCTCCGATGTCCTGCATACCTACGCATCCAGGGTCTCACTCACACCGTTACTCCTCCCGAAGTTCTTCCCAAGGTATTGATGCTGTCCCGTACAGCCAACCCCTGCACCTCAGCATCATCCACCGAGCCGGTCCGGTAATACCAAGCCCCCTCACCCACACTGCCGCTCCAGGTGAAGAAGATCTGAGTCGGAGGTCTGAGGCTCGTCAGCCATGGCCACCAAGATTTCAAGAAAGAGAGAGAAGGAGAAAGGAGAAGGAGAAGAAGGTAAAGAAGAAGAAAAAAAGGGAAAGTAAAAGAAAAAGTAAAAAAGAGACGCGCACAGACCGCTTCTAGGTAGGTGCCGCGTACGAGTAATATCTACCATTTGTTAGTCGTTGAAAGATGTCATGGAACGATGACAAAGGTTGCTGATCTCGCCGTGTTCCGGTGGTTCCTGGCGGTCCCGATGGCGGCAACCTCACAGCTCCCTGTTTCAGCTCAGACATTCGTTTCCACACCGCCATTCACCCCAGTCTCGACCCTTTTTTCTTCTCGACCTGATTGCTGAATACCCTGGCATCGTTGGCCTTGGCCTGGTCATCTCGGTATAGTGTACGTACAGCTCAGGTGCAGATAGACCCTCGTCCCAGTCCACCACGTCGGTGTACAGATTACTCTGCAATTGAATCGAGATGCCCTCCGGGCCATTTTTTCCGAGTCCCCGGTACCCTGTATTGATTCAATGGCACTGTTGAGGACCACACCGGTGAGGAGAATAGCAATGATATCCAGCTTCAAGGTTGGCGGTATATCCTGCGGCACATTCGCCTCGCTCAGGACATCTCTTGTTACCTAATCTCCCCCCCCCCCCCCCAACATAGTCGTACTCCATGATCAGTGAGAGCACAGTATATCTGCATCAGAGGATGGGGAGGTACACATATATCACGCTCGTGACTTGTGTGTGTAACGAGGTCATGGCGACACCTGGAGGCGCTGTCGGCTGGTCAGTCCAATCTTCGCCTAAGCACAAAGTCGTTGGCTCCGTCGTGGATCAACAGATCAGGGGTTATGACTCCCAGGAGGGAGGGGGCAGAATGGGTGTCGCACTTCACCCCCCGGCTCTTATTATGCTTGTCGAATTTGAGGTCTGGCCGGGGCCGTTGCTGAGCACTGACCGAGTCTTGAGAGAGATGGATGCCCCACAGAGACAGATGTGTGAGATGAGGCTCATTTTAACATGGTTGTAATTTCGCTGCGGACAGCAATGACAGGTCGAGACACCAGAGATGAAGGCTAAACACACCCCGCCAGATTGCAGTGTTCGCTAGCAGCAGATCCAGGACTCGGACTCGTCACTCACAGGGCGAGAATGCGGGGAAACGACATCTTGTAACACTGAACATTACGAGTCAGTTTCCTTTCTCCTCAAAGCGGACAGGCTGTGGAGACGATTGTCAGGAGCTCTTGGCAATATCACGGCAGCCATGAAGGATTTAAGGAGAGGCATATATGTATGTGTGCACATCGACGCACGCACTGTCTCCGTATCGTCGCCTACGTGTGAGGGAATAGTTTCTTGGAGGTTGCGTAAGTTGGGTGATGTGTGTGCTATTGAAGGATGAATGCAGATGACCTAGAAGAATGATGCTGCACCTTTCAGCAATGGCCAGAACAATGACAGGCCGTACCAACTTGCATGTCTTTCCCGGGGTGCTCTTTCCTCTTTCCCTTCTCCATTCTTGCATCTCATTGCCCCCCATTGACTGATGTGTAAGAAACGATGTGCCCAGGGGCGTTCAGTAGGTGGGCGTTCAGGCGCTGTCCCCTGCTAAAATCACGCACGCCTTTTCACGTGTTCACCATAAGATTTGAAGGCAGGAGCAGCCCGTCCAACCTTCTCATTTTACTCGTATGTGCATGTATCGATGAATAAATGAATGTCGTCCTTTATGTACTTTTATGCAACGAACCTCGCGGTGTATAACGCACGATTGCATATCATCACGTGTACATGTAATAAATACACACTGTATTTTTCATGTCTCAGTCGTGGTCGGGAATAGTGGCGGGGTTTTCGAGGAACTGCAGATGAGAGGAGAATAATGCCATGGCGGCAGGCATGGGCTATTGTTCTACTATCCCTCCCCCCCCCCCCCCCCTCTCTCTCTCTCTACTCTCTACTCCCTCTTCTTTCTCCTTGGTTCTCGCACCCTCTGGACAACCGAGCAAATCTACGGGTAGTAGTCTGCTTTTTCTTTCCACAACAAGTCATAGCCTCATTGCCCCGCGCCCATTCTCCTTGGCCCGACAGCTGGTTACACAAAATCGGCTTCTATTTGGTTGGTTGACTATATCATGCATAGTCGTGATAGGATATATTGGTCTCGATCGCAACGATGCCGACCACCAGGAATACGGCGTACACATTGTACCTTGCTTGGCCTATCGTTTTTACCATCCGACCGTCCCATGATCAAGAACTGATCTGCTTATCCTCACCTTGGCCAACCCTCTGACCCTCCTATGCTCCATGTGCGCCCGTGCCGCAGTATTAGTGTGGCAGAGACACGTGCTGTTCCTTGCGGTCCAGGCCTGCCTGTCAGACCAGCCAATTGATAGTATCGCGAGTCGTCGTCTAGGGGCCCTGCTCCGTCAATATCTCCTCTGTACAGCTCTGCACAGCTGCCGCGTCCTTTTTCACATCAGACCCCCCCCCTCCGTGCGGTGTCGAGGAAGGGAAGAGGCAACGAGACACAGAGGGCAAGGAGAAGGAGGGTAAGAAGATCCGCGCATTTCAGACGTGTTCTTTTACTCCACAGACCCGTAGAGAGCGGCCCTCCGTAATTATTTCGTCATGTACGATTTGGCAATACGCCGATTGCATTTAAAATGACCCGCGGTGGTACAATGTCTCATTGGCTAGACTGGCAATCGGTTCGGGCTCGAACAGGACGGCGGCTGTCGTGGTCTCGGTCCAGAGGACCTGCACGTACCACGCTACCCAGCTGACATCTCCAAAGGCCAGTGCCCCTTTAACCTCTGGTATGTCACCGATATCCTTGCTAAAGCCATGAGACGAGACCGAGGAACACATCAGACCATGTGTGCATCTTAGCTCCCGAATATGTCCTCGGGGAGAGGACTGGGTTCTGTTCTCGATAGAGCGGCACTTGCGTTATAGCCCACGGTTTTGGACGGGACCCGTCTATACATTTCGAATGTGCAACGTAATAACGGCAATGTCGGATCTTGTGAGATATATACAGTTAGTAGGCGCCTATATCTGTCTCGATCCCTCTACTGTCCAGGTGGTCGGATACATCGGGTCCAAGCGCAGATCGAACTAGGCGAGAGATCGAACTAGATGAGAGATCGTATTTCCCATTCCAGAAACTAACTTTGAAGGGGAGATCTCTCGGTATCCTGCAAGGGTGCCGCCGTGACCGCGATGCACGAGTTCAGCGATCGGATATCTGCCCCAAGAGAGCTGTTACCTCGTAAACCAGCAGCCATGTAGCCCATCCGTCATCATGTATGGATGCGATGTATATGGAAGAAATCGCTCTTCCTGTGCTCTACGTGTACTTTTTTAAAAAAAATAATCGAAGTCTAGTTGTTTGCCACTTGAAGGGGGGGGCGACGACACGGTCTCGGCCTCGACGCATCCGCAACCACGCGACTTAAACCTACCGAGTCTTACTCGCATTATTAGTGCGACCCCGAACCAGCTCTTCTCTAGCCTGACCATTACAGAATGGGCGCATTTCGCGAACCAAGCCACGGATTATCAACCCAGAACCAGACGGCTGGTAAAATCGTTGGCAATGTTGCTGCAACGGTCGCAGCCTAGTGCCCAGTGTCCACCGGCCTATCGCACTTGTACGACATGAGATTAATAAGGAAGCAAAAAGGGGCGAGAGGGTGGCAATAAGAGAGCATTTCGTTCTCGTTCCTTGGGCACACTCTCTCGTTTGGGCTGGTATTTGCCACAACCATTGGCCAATAAACGGTGATGCGCAAACTCGTGTGTCGTCGCGAGAGAGGGGAAAAAGAAAGAAGGAGGATGAAAACAAGGGACCCACAGGGGAATTTATCGTAGACCCATCTCGTCCCTTGCAATGTATGTCTTCAATCTTCATTTTGAGGAGGCTGTGTGGGAAGCCGAAGGGTTCTAGATGCCAGCGTGGCGGCTCGGTGCTGCATGGAACCCAATGTACCGCCGCAGCTGCACCGACTGGGCAGCCACTAAACAATGTCCTGTAGTCATCTCATCCATGTTCTCTCTCTCTCTCTCTCTCTCTCTGTCCGTAGGTGTGCGTGTGCGCGTGTGTACGTGCGCGTGTGTTTCTCCGTCTATGTTCTGTGTGTACATATGCAGAGCTTGATGGTGGGAGGGAACCCCTTGAGGGGGGCAATAGACATGACCATCTTGCCACATGGAAAGCTGACTCCGAAAGTAAATAGCCGTTCCCGAGAGACCGGAATGAAGTCCGTATAAGGGTACAGATCCAGTAGAGTAGCCAACGGAGCCGGGTCACTAGGTTGCGATTCGTCGTAAGCCGGGTCTTCCGTACCCGAAATATTGTATCATTTTCTGCTCTCCTCCTCGTCCTCCTCGTGAAAAGCATCTAGACTCCTCTTTTTTTCAAAAAAAAAAAAAAGAAAAAAAAAAAGCTTCACTGTTTCTAGTATTCCCTGTCGAATGGTTGGTCCCGCCCTTGTGGGCTCCTCTTGAAAAAGGCCAAGACAAGGGTTTTCGGCTGCCTGCCATGGTTTTTTAATTGTCCTTTTTTTCCTCTCAATGTCGGCAGGCATGACTGCAGAATACTTGCATCGAGTGGGACCTTATTGAGTCTCTGGGAAGGTGAGGTGTGGTTGACAGAGGGAGGGAAAAAAACGTGCTGGTCTTTCTCTTTCTCCATCGTCTCTTATCCCTCCCCCCCCCCCCCCCCCCTCTTCTTGTCCCAACCCGACCGTTAATACCTCTTGTGGAGAAGACACACACCATCTTTTGGCAGCCCACCATTACACCACAATCACCAAATGGAGCGGAGGTACAAGCCTCTGTTGCCTGCGGCTTCGTCTTCACAAGCGCGTCCTGGAGATATTCAGAGAAAGGACAGCACCGACACCACCTCTGATCCTGGTCGCCAAGATTCCCCGGGACCGAGACGGAAGCGAGTCCAGGTCAAATTGGCCTGTGACGCTTGCCGTGCGAAGAAGACTGCTGTCCGTTGCCCTTCTAACAAGAATACCGCGGTGGCGGGCGTACTGACAAGATCCTTCAGTGTGACGGTCAACGACCGGTGTGCGCTCCGTGTTCTAGGCGGCAGCTGCCATGCATCTTTTCCGGTCGACCGTCGGATAGCCCCGACGAGCATTCTCAATCTCAGTCTGAGGTCGTTGAGCTCCTCAACTTGCTCAGGTCCTCTCCAGGGGAAGATGCTCTGAAGATGCTTGACGACATCAAGACTTCCGGCGGCGACTTTAAAGTAGCCCTCGCTCACATAAAGGAGAAGAGACTTCTCGCCTTGGACTACCAACAGATTCACTCTCCAGCATTACCAGACCAAGACTCCATCGAGTTCGAGCTCATGGCAAGACATCCCATCCTGTACCCTGCCGAGATACCCCTCGACCGCATACCGAATGTTGCTGGGAAGCATTCCCGCGCGGGCCTCGGCCAACAGCCAGTCACGGCAGCTAGGTGTGTACATGTTCAACCGGTTCCCCGGACGTCGTGTAAGTGCTGACATTCTCCAATCTCTTCTTCCAGCCTCGATCTATCTCTTCCCCTTATATCTGTACTTCCCTCAAACGCGGGGCAGATACATCCAAGAGACGTCGGCTCCGACCTCGTCGACCCACGGCTCGCGCTCGTAGACTTTCAGACCTGGACGGCCATCCCTATCGACAGCAGCGATGCGGCGATGGCGATTTCAAGGTACCTCGATCTCGATCACGACATCTTGGGACTTTTCGACCCGGAATTATTCCTCCAAGATCTCGTCTGGCATGGAACCGAGTTTTGCTCACCGCTCCTGGTTAACGCGTTACTAGGCTGGACCTGTGTATGGCCCATAAACATTGAAACAATGCAATGCTCCTTGGCTGTTGCACAGTATACGAGATGCGTTCATCGAGTGCTAACATAGACGTCATCATACAATAGCTCGATGCGTTACTGTTGACGGATTCCCAGGAACCTCCGAGTTCAGCCTTCTTCGCCGCCGCTCTTGATCAGTGGGACTCCCAGCCGACGCCGGACTCGTACCCTACCCTAGCCGCGCTACAGCTGTTGAGCCTCACGGCTCTGTTCGCCGGCAACGGTCGCAAGAGTCGACAGCTGCATCTCGACGCCATAGACATGGGCACCAGGATGAGACTCATGGTCAACAGCGCCGGGGTCCAAGAACCCTTGCCGGGGCTCGATAGTAGAGCAGCCAGCCAAGCGGCCTGGGGATTATTCTCATACGCAACGTGGGTCCGACCAAACATATTCAGAGTGCTTGCAAACATATGTTTGTCCGTAGCTTCCTAAAGAAAAAGAGAGAGAGAGAGAAAAAGATGGAGTATTGCTGACTCTTGTACCGTCTTTATGCAGGATATACTCGTTGCATTCCCAACGCGACGACCTCAGAGCGTTGACTCCACCATCCGCATTGCTAATCCCTGCAAGGTCGACGGAAAAGCTCACGCCAGAGCTAGGAGCAACTGCTACGCCATCGACCCGCGTTCCCTTTCCGACCTTTCCGTACCTTTGCCAACTGTGGATTCTCGTTCGTGAGGTGGTTCATCTTCGCTATCGGGAAGAGTCTCCCAAAGCCCCTATCCTGTATGAAGAGTCGTATACCCAGGGTACATTGCAGCGTCTCCTCAGCCTGGGAGATCAACTACCCCTCAGCTTGGCTCGCGGGAACAAGACGACGCCTTCTGGGATGATTCTTCAGTAGGTGGAACTGGAAGGGATCGTTCACGCATTCTACCCATCGGCTAATACTACCTCCTCCTGTCTTGCAACAGCATCTTCTTTCACGTGAGTATCATAATGCTAGTCCGCCCCTTGGTGCGTGATGGGAACATGGCTATGCAAGCCGTCAACAGGGCATCGATAAACCAACTCCGACGTCTTATCACAACATACCTCGTCGAGTTCACGCCGAATTCGCCATCATGCATGTGGCACATTGGCTGCCTGTACCTGGCGAACGACGCTCTGAAGGGTTCCGAGGACAGACACATGAATACCCGACTATCAGACCTGCGTCTCTGCCTGTCCGGCTACGGAGACCTGTATCCGCGGTACCCCATGATCCTAATCATCTTGAAGGGCCTTCTCAGGATCGCGGTTGACAAGGCGCTTGTCACCACCAAGCAGGCCATCGACTGGGTAAGCCAGCTGGAGACGAGAAAGGTGTACCTGATACTGTTTCCCACAGAGGCTGGCACGGTGCTTGACCTGGACCTGGCGCTGGACGATAGGCACCGGGCCGATATTGACTATCTGGCCCAGGAATTTGATGCCATGGTCATTTTTGATGAGCTCATAATTGATGAGGCCGACGACGGGACGTTGTAGGTCAACACGCTCTAGTCTGTCATGCTCAAGTGAGACGGCATGCATGCATTCAGCATAGAACAAGCGAGCGCGCCATATGGAACCCTTTTCACGATTGAATGACGATGAGGACAGGAGTTGACAACACGATCCTACTATGATTTACTACTCACCATGATTACCAGTCCTCGTGACTATGCCCATTAACTTGCATGTGCTATGTAAAGCGATTGCGAAAAGAGGTCTGAACAGGTCAAGATATAGCTACTAGCGGTACTCTTTTTGATGTAAAATGTTACAAGGTTCCCTTTCCCTCGCTCGATCACGAAATAAACCCGCTCTCCCCTTTATGTGATGAGTTTTTTTTCTTTCTTTTCTTTTCTTTTTCTCTCTCTCTCTCTCTCTCTCTCTCTCTCTCTCTCTCTCTCTCTCTCTCTCTCTCTCTCTCTCTCTCTCTCTCTCCTTCTTTTTCTCTCCTTCTTCTTCTTCTCCTTCTTCTTCTTCTTCTTCCTCTTCTTCCTGTTTCCTCTTTCCTTTTTCCTCATGAAAGTGGGACCCCCTTTTAGCACCTTTTTTTAATTGCCCTCCTCTTACCTTTCCTAGCATAGACAACATGTGGGGGACCCTGTTGAAGAGAAGCAAAACAACTTGAGCCACCAGTCGTCGGCTTGCCGGGGGGTTGAGAGACAAGGGGGAACCGTATAGTGCCGATTGATTGGGTGAGAGCTCACGGAGTAGCTCCGAGCTGACAATGGACAGTTCTGATTGGGCATTTGTAAATCTAGGGGGATCCTGAGCTTACTATATTATGTATTATATATAGTTTCTATGCGGCGACGCCGCAGAGGAAGTATGAGATCTTCACAGGTATAGGGCAGATGGGGAGGCGGGGTGACAGCAAGGAAGGAACAAAGAAGGAACAAGACGAGGATAATCAGACACAATCCGGCCACGATTGAACTATCCACGGGAACGAATTGGCGTGTTTGGAAGAAATGAAAACGGGGGTACGGAGAGCGTGTGTGTGTGTGTGTGTGTGTGTGGG